GATGTAATTTTGCAAAAAGAGGTTATTTCATATTAGAGGTGTCACAGTAAACATAGACTAGCCCAAATAGTGTGTTTGGTTTCTTTTTACCCATACACAATTTACAATTTACTAACTACCTCGGAACCTTTAGGGTGCCATAGATTAGACACTTAGGGGCAATATTTCTTCCTAAGAGGATCTTTCTGAGGGACAGCCAGCACTCCTTTACTATCCCCCCTCACTGTGTTCCCTTCTCTCTCCCTCCAGCTCCCACACACACCCACAGCAGCTATTATACTACAATATACCTGGGCACCTGCTGGCTTCTTTCTGACATGATAACTGCACATTCCAAAATAAAGCAGTGATGAACACAAAGAGCTGGTTGTTCACATCAGTGAGCATGTCTCAGTCTCACAATTACATCCATAACAGCTTTTGTCATGAACTTTGTGCATTAATTAGATTGATCATTCAAATCCACTTTAGTTTGTATCACCTTCAGCTAGCCTAAGTAACTAACTTCTTAATGACTATTTCTATTAGATAAATACATACCCCTAGTATTGTTTTCTTTCTTTCTTTACCATGTACAGTACAGAAACTAAAATACATGGAGAAATATCCGAGAATCCCATCCATTTTCATCATCTTAGATCATAGAAAGTCAGTAGGAATATTGAAAAGGGATAAGGGTGAAGTGTAAGTGTGTAGAAACACCACCATCTTGCACTGTTTGACTTTCTGGGAGTGTCGCCTATATTGTGAAGGTATAACAATGGTATGAACAATACTTGTAGTGCAACTAAGCACCTGAGTTTAAAATAAATGCTTTAAAATAGCTAATTACACTTTATGAAGTCCTGGTGTGGCACTGTAGGATAAGCACTGGACTGCTAACCACAAAGTCAGCATTTCAACCCCACCAACTGCTCCTTGGAAACCATATACAAGGTCGCTATGAGTTGGAATCAGCTCAACAGTCCTTAACAATAATAACAACTACAGAAAAAGAAAACAATTTCTCATGTCCTCAAAAACAGATGATAAGTACTTTAAAGCCTTGTGGATATCTAAAACTGGTTACCTATTTTTAAAATGTTGAACTAGGATTTGAAGCAAGCTCTACAGTTCAAGGAGTCCTGGTGTGGTGCTGTGGGTTAATGGGCTGGACTGCAAAGTCAGTTTGAACCACAACGTTGGTGGTTCAAAGTCACCACTCACTCCTCAGAAACCCAATATAGGGTCGCTATGAGTTGGAACCAACTCGAGGGCACTTAACAACAATAACAATCCAGTTCCAGAACACAAGTCTTAACTGTAAGGCCCCATCATCTCTTAAGTGTAAATTGATAATAAGAACATTGTGGAGTTGGGGAAGAGAATAATGAAGAAAGATTTAGCCTACCATATAGGGGTGGTGGTGGTGTGCTGTCAGTTCTGACTCATAGAAACCCTGCATAGGGTTTCTGAGGCTGTAAATCTTTACAGGAGCAAAAAGCCTCATCTTTCTTCCATGGAACCACTGATAGTTTTGAACTGCTGACCTTGAGATTAGAAGCCCAACTCGTATCCACTACACTACTGCACAGATAAATATACCAGTACAGGTTCAAGAAAAGAAAGACTACTCAACTGCCCATTAAATTATGAGATCTCAATACTCAATAACAATTTAGTAAGTGTTGTTATAAAGATACATTCGGATCATTAAGATCTAAATATAAAAAATAAAAACAAAAAAGTTTCTAGGAATAACCTCAGGTAATTCTATAATCTTGGATGAGGAAAAGCTTTCTAAGCATATTATCAAAAGAATCCATAAAGGAATATGTTAAAACTTGTACATGGCTTAGCAAACAAAGTCTCATAAATAACCCTAAGACCTCACCCTCAAAAAAATCTAACTCTAGATCTCTTAATAGACATGCCTAAAGAATATAAACAAAGGAGTAGGTAAAATATAAAGGGTGATGCTACCATTACTTAAATAGCTATAAAATAGCCACAGAACAGAGATGAGTTCAACCAGGGCAGATTAATCCAATATACAAAGAAGATCATGTTTCTGTAGAGATGCAGACTCCCAACATGAAACCTCAGACCACATGCAGCCATTAACCATAGTAAACATGAAACATGAAGAATTGTCAGAATTGCCAGTAAATTCTACAAAGTTGATATTCAAGCAATCAGTTTCAGTAATTCCCAGAAATAACAATCAAACCAAAAATACTATATGGCTTTATGATTTTTAAAATTGGACCAACACAAAATCGTTAAGAATTTTTTTAAGATATAAGTGATACAACAGACATAGACACCTTTGTATGTAGTTTTTAAAGTATTTATTTAGCCTAAGTGAAACGCCATCAATGAAACTCAAAATTGAAAGCCTAAAGGTCAAGTGAAATCCCTTAGTAAATTTAGCATAGAGATGCTAAAGCAAATGGAAGACATGTGGAGGTCCAGGAGCTGAACAGAAAATATCAAACATCAGCTAGAGAAGATCAAGCCAAATATTGCCACAAAATGTGCAAAGATCTGGAATCAGAAAACCAAAAAGGAAGATCATGCTCAGCATTTCTTAAGCTGGGGGAACTGAAGAAAATATTGAAGCCTTGACTTTTGTTATTGAAAGATTCTCTGGTCAAATTATTGAATAATGCAGAAAGCATCAAGAGAAGATGGAAGGAATACACACAGTCACTGTACCAAAAGGAAATGGCTCATGTTCAAACGTATCAAGAGGTAGCATATGATCAAAAGCCAATGATACTGAAGGAGAAAGCCCAAAGTGCATTGAAGGAATTGGCAAAGAACAAGGCACCAGGAATTGATGTAATAAAATTTAGGTAAATGTTGTCCTTTTGATTTTGAATGATTGACCATACCATGGTGAACATACCTTACTAGTATTGTTTTTTCCCTCACTCCTATATATCTATCTACTGCTTGGCTGAAAATTGAACCATGAGGATGAGTTACTTTCTAGACCTGAAAGTTGGTCACCTAGGGCCATATTCTTGGGTTCTTCCAATCTTTTCCAGACCAGTAATCCCCATCTTTTGTTGTTGTTGTTGTAATTTTGAGCTTTAGTCCATACTTTCTCCCATTCTATCTGGGACCTTGTAATGTGATCCCTTTCAGAGCAGTTGGTGGTGGTAGCCAGGCACCATCTAGTGCTTCTGGTCTCAGAGTTGTAGGGATTGATGTTTACAATGGATCAAAAAGTCCATTGGACTAGTTGATTCCAAGTTTCTTCAATTCCCATCACTCTTGACTCATCATTCTTCTTTCTTCATGGAGAGACCAATAGTTGCACCTTAGGTGGCCACTTATAATCTTTTAAGATCCTAGATGCTATTCACCAAAGTGGGTTGCAGAACATTGTCTTTGTGGACGATATTACGCCAATTGATTATGGTGTCCCTTGAGACTATGGCTCTGGGTACTCAAACTTTTAAACTGATATTCTATGTATCAGTCACAATGATATACTTGTTGGTTAATTTGGAACTGGTATCATAGCCTTACTGAAGGCCCCATGCAAAGTCTCTTTGTTCTCACTGGCATGAGGGTTCTGCCCCAGAACTCTTGACACAAAGGTTGTGCCTCACTCAGTACATGGAGAATTGAGACAGTGACCTTTGATAACTTGGACCCTAGAAAATGTCTACTCTTCTTGTCCCATAACAGGATCAAAGTGGTGGGAGTCTATGAAAAACAATGTAAAATAATCCTAGAATTATCTTTTTAATAGCCCACATCTTCCCTTAACTTGACATCAGGATACCAAGTTGTTTTCATTGAATTAGACAAAATAAGTAGAAAATAGTTCTGAGACCTCTATTTTATGTTGGTGAATCATACTAGAGCCTCTTAAGAAATCCTTTTTGGTTGCTTGGGTACTCACTATGGAAGAAAATTGCCTTGGAAATAATATAGAGAGATTTGTAATTGAGTATTCATAGTGTCGGTGTAGGGGAGAGGGAAAGAGTTCTCAGATGGGTGAAATAAAATTCAGAAGTTCACCCTCTGGCCATGGGGTCTGTGGCACGCAGTATAGAGCTGTAGGTAGGGCTTGTTTGGAAGGGTTCAACTTCACTGGATTCTGAACCCAGAGTCAGCCCCGTAGAGAGTTAGAAAGAGAGCTGTTTAGCAGGGCATGATCATAATCTCGCTGATGCCAGAATCATGAATTAAATGTAGATTCTTTTCTAATATACAAGACAGCGGTGTTCCTAGATAGCTGAGGGAGGAAGGAGGAAGGTGGCAAGCAGTTGCCTGGAGTCAACTCTGACTCAAGGTTGTTGTTGTTGTTGTTAAGTGCCGTCGAGTCGGTTCCGACCCATAGCGACCCTGTACAGGGTTTCCGAGGGTGTAAATCTTTACGGGAGTAGAAAGCCTCATCTTTCTCCCGCGGAGCGGCTGGTAGTTTCAAACCGCTGACCTTAAGGTTCGCAGCCCGATTCGTAACCACTACGTTACCAGAGCTCCCTGACTCAAGGTAGCTCCATATAAATTAGAATTAGAGTATCAGAGGAGAACTGCGTTTTATATAATTGTCAATAGCTGATTGTACAGAAGTAGATCACCAGGCCCTTCTTTTAAGGCACTGCTGCATGGTTTTGAACCTCCAACCTTTCAGTTAGCAACCAAACACATTAACCATTTGCCCCCCTCAGGAACTCCCTAGATAGCTGAAGAAAGGGAATTTTGGCTTAGTTTCCTGCTATTAGACCTTCAGAGTCCTGATGTGGCACTGTGGGTTAATGCGCTGGACTGCAAAGTCAGTTTGAACCACAAGGTCAGCGGTTCAAGCTCATCAGCTACTCCTCAGAAACTCTGTATTGGGTTGTTATTGGTCGGAATCGACTTGGCGGAACTTAACAGCAACAACAACAACAACAAGGCCTTCTTAGGCTGTCACCAAATTGTCAGTAGTGTCATGATTTGATGACATATGACTTTGGCTAGCACTGACTGTGATCTGATCCCCTACATTCTCCCAACAGGCGTAGAAGACATAGTGGCCATAATGATACCTGAGCCGAAAGGGAAGGAGATCGTGAGCCTGCTGGAAAGGAACATCACCGTGACGATGTACATCACCATTGGGACCCGGAACTTACAGAAATATGTGAGCCGCACCTCGGTTGTGTTTGTCTCCATCTCCTTCATTGTCCTGATGATCATTTCCCTCGCATGGCTGGTCTTTTATTATATCCAGAGATTTCGATATGCAAATGCCAGGGACAGGAACCAGGTGAGTAGCTCACATTTTTCAAATATATATTGCAAAAGTAATACATATTATTGTATAAACTTTGCAAATCACAGAAAATGTCAAGCAAGGACACAGTTGTGTGTAATGGCCCTCTACTCAAAACAGCACTTAACAACAACAAACTCAAGATAAACACTGTTAAGATTTTCTGTATCGTTTTGTTAGATCCTTTTTTGGGGGGACTACTATTGTGTAAAATGGAGATGCTTTGTTCTATTATCCAAATGCTCATTCCTTGGACAATTCTTGATTTAAGTTGGCTGATAATAAAGGGATAAATGTGAAGTGGACAAAGATTATGCTTAGTGTTAATTTGATTTGAAAAGAACCAGGATTTACTCCCTGTGAGCAAAAGAGAAAAATTTTAAACTATTTTAAAAAGCAATTAATGAATGAAGAGATAATATATTAATACATACTAGAAAATGCAAATAGTACAAAATGGTATATAACAAAAAGTAATTGCTTTCCCATCTGTCTCTCAGTCTCCCAATTTTTCTGGAATACCTCCTCTTCCTGGGATTTTTTTATGCATTTATAAACACATATCCTTACATGTCCTGGTGTGATAATGTTGACTAAGCACAGTTCAAACCCATCAGTCATTCCTTGGAAACCCTATACAGGGTTGCTATGAGTGGGAACCAACTCGACTGCACTTAACAACAGGCTTACATGAGCTCAAATATCTTTTTAAAACAAGATGTTTGTAGCACACTTAATTCTATATCTTTCTCAATCTTGAAAGTTATCATGCTGGTTATTTCATATCAGTAGTAAAGCAAGCTCATTTCTAATTTCTAATGACCACATAACGTTGCATTGTTATCTGGATATGCCATGTTTATTTTACCAGCCTACACTTGGTGGTCGTATTTCTTTTATAAAAAATGTAACCATGACACTTAGCACATTTTTAGCATTATGTTTTTATATGGATAACATGTGAGTTATACTGTGTTTGCTAACTGCACAACACCCTGTCCTGCTTTCATAAACACACCATGCTGCCAGTTACGTATATGGGTGAGTGTGCTATTTGAGAAAAAATATGGTATATCTGTAAAGTGAATCTAGAAGTTTAATTGCTGGGGCAGGATTATGTGATTTTAAATGATTAGAGATACTGCCAAATTACCTGTTAAAAAAAGTTGACCCCAATTTACATTTTAATCAAAGATAAATGAAAAGTATTGTTCACACATATGCTCATCTAAGAATGCGTTACAAATTTTTGGCTACTTTTCAATTAAGCTGTTTGTCATTTTCTTTGTAAATTCTCTATGGCACTGGTGCTGTATCTTTGAGTTTAGTTCTGACTCAACAACCCTATATAGTGGTTCTGGAGTCCTGGTGTGGTTCTGTGGGTTAATGCGCTGGACTGCAAAGTCAGTTTGAATCATAAGGTCTGTGGTTCAGGCTCACCAGTCACTCCTCAGAAACCCTATACAGAGTCGCTATGGGTGGAACCGACTCAACAATACTCAACAACAACAACAATTACATGTTTATGATAACAAAAATCAGATATAAGGCTAAGGAGCCCTGGTAGTATAGTGAGTTACACTTTGGGCTGCTAACCCCAAGGTCAGCAGCTCGAATCCAGTTGTTCAGAAGGAGAAAAATGAAGCTTTCTGCTTTTGTGAATATTAACAGCCCTGGAAACACTATGTTGTGGTTGTTGTTAAGTACTGTTGAATCAGTTCCGACTCTAGAAGTTCAAACTTACCTACAGTCCAGCACATTATCCTGCAGCGCCACACCAGGATTCTAAACATGTAATAGTGACTGCAATACAGCAGAGCGTATATTTGACAGTTTTTTCATTTTTTCGTTTTTTTGTTTTTAATTCAAGGAGTGCTGGTCACTACACCATCTAGGAAACTGTTAAGATATGATGTTGGGTTCCTGTAGCAATAGAAATGAAGATTTGTTGTTGTTAAATGCTATAAAGTCAGTTCCAACTCAAAATGATCCTGTATAGGGTCTCAGAGCTTGCTCATCTTTGCAGGAGCAGAAAGTCTCATCTTTCTCCTGTGGAGCAGCAAGTGGGCTTGGAGTTCAGTACTTATTCTACAGAGCCACTGCGTTCTCTGTCGTCATATTGCAGAGGAGGAAACTAAGCACAGAAAGGCTAAGTAACTTGTCTAGTGTCATACAGGTGGTTACCAATGGAGTCAGCAATAGAACCAGCACTAGGGCAGCAGAGTTCATGCTCATACCCAGTATGATTACTTATGCTGGCTTATCAGGATTACATTAATTATACTATGCAGTTTGCTTTTTTTAAAATGTTTTATTGTGACTTATGTGATAGTTTACATGGGAGAACGTTAGTTTTACATTCATCCTATCGCATATCATTTCATTGCCATGGTTACAATACCCTCCATGCATCATCAATCAACCAACGGGTATACCCTTATGTATAAATTCATTAGTCAAATATGTGAGTGTATATGTATATGTGAAGCACCAACGCATATACATACAAGTTTCATGTTCTAGATTTTATTAAATGGTGAACATTTCCTCCTGCCATTAAATAATCTTTGAAAACATGATTTTTATTGGCTACAAAGTAGTCGGGTTCCACCCTTTACCAAAAATGAGCAAGTTACTTAATTTCTCTATACTTTAGTTCTCTAAACTAAATGGGAATGTACCTTCCTCTTATGGTTATAGTGAGGACTAAATTAATTCATGTATATTATTTCCTGGTGTGGCACTGTAGATTAATGGGCTGGACTGCAGAGTCAGTTTGAACTGCAAAATTGGGAGTTCAAGCTCACCAGCTGTATCTTGGAAACCCTCTCTACTGGGTCTCTATAAGTCAGAACTGACTTGATGGCACTTAGCAACAACAACAAAATATATACTAATCACTTGTTAAGCTCTCAATGAATGGTATCTATTTTTGCTATTGCTGTTATATAGACTCACTGAAGACTGCTTACAAATCCAATTTTGCCAATTTCATTGAATATTCTGAAACATAAGTGGTTATTTAATACTATTAGACAGAAGTTATGGAAATTGGATATAGAGCAGTTTCTATGGGTTACATATGAAGATACTTTAAGTGTTAAACTCAGCTATTCAAAGTTGCTCACCCAGTTAATCAGAAAATGGCAAATAACAACGGCACTCCAATATTTTTGAGCCTTTAGACAACTCTATGGGTCAGAACTGACTCAATGGCACTTAACAATAACAACAACAATAGACAATTCAGTCCTTAGGCATTTGAGGCAAAGATGAAATTTTGAGCTTGAGCTAATTGAGTGATTATTTCAATCACCATTTCACTTTGTGCAGATAGATATGCCTTCCATGTCTGTCTGTTATTGTTGTTGTTAAATGCCATAGAGTCAGTACTGACTCATAGCAACCCTGTATAGGTTTCTGAGGAGTCGCTAGTGAGCTTGAACTGCCAATCTTGTGGTTCAAAGTGACTTTGCAATCCATCTCATTAACCCACAGCACCACACATATTCAGTGTCATATGTGAGAAATAAATTAGAGAAGTTGATGGTATGGAAGAGTTTCAAGGGGTTTTCATTTTTGATATCCTGCCGCCATATTTGTAGTTGTTGTTAAGTACCGTCAAGTCAGTTCTGACTCGTAGCGACTCTGTATTGAATTTCCAAGGAGTGGATGGTGGGCTTGAGCCACTGACCTTGTGGTTAGCAGACCATTGCTTATCCTACAGTGCCACACCATTGCATTAACTTCCCTGAAATTCCATGATGTTCAAGGTCACTTAGTGAAATGTGATTGTGTTAAAAGATAACATTGTTTCCTGATCAAAATGAACACTCTATTCTAGCACTTTGATGGAAGAAATGAGAGTGTATAATTCTCTTTTCATGGGCAGTACTCTATTCAACAGACAGGGACAGCTGTGCAAGCTATACTTATCATTTATGACAGTTATTGGCAGTTCAAACAGTGACTCTAAGGCCAGAGGTCGGCTCACAGCCTGAAAGGGAATATCAAAACCATTTATTTCATGTTGGTACAGTACCCACTTATTCAATTATATGAAAGGGAGACTGAATTTGAGTTAGCTGGATGAGTTCCTCACGTCTCTGCCTGGCTTATGCTTTATTAAAGGAGAGTCACCAGCATCTTACATGGTCACTACCTCCTTCAGGTCACACTGGGCCTGGAGGAGATCACTTCAGTACTACATATTCTTTACTTTAATCTCACATCTAGGTCTTTTCCATGGTGACATGGAGGTTTGAGTCTACAACTGAAAGTGGAGAGGGAAATTTGGCTGGCATACCATGTTACCTAGGGCAATTATACCAGGATGAATCTAGTACAGGGTAATAGTCACCAGCTATAGCATAGTGGTTATGAATCTGGTTACAAATCGGGCTGTGAACCTAAAGGTCAGCAGTTTGAAACTACCAGCTGCTCCATGGGAGAAAGATGAGGCTTTCTGCTCCCGTAAAGATTTATAGCCTTGGAAACCCTGTGCAGGGTCACTATGAGTTGGAACTGACTCCATGGCACATAACCACCACCACCATGGAGTCCTGGTGTGGTGCTGTGGGCTAATGCACCAGACTGCAAAGCCGTTTAAACTGTAAGGTGGGTGGTTCAAGCTCAACAGCTGCTCTTCGGAAACCCTATACAGAGCCACTATGGGTTGAAACCAACTCGACGGCACTTAACAACAACAATGGAGTCAAATGGGTCTGGGTTCAAATCTCTAACCTAGTGACAAAATCCTGGTGACTTTGGGTGAATTACCTCACCTTCCTACACCTAACTTTCTTCACAGGAAAATAGAGAATGTCAATCTCGTAGGTTTGATGTGAGGATCAAATGAGAAAATATGTGTGATGTACTATTACAGGCTTGCCAATTGGATCACCTTGAATAAATAAAGAAATTCTTGGAAAATAGTTATTACCCTTCTGGGGCGGGGGAAAAAAAAAAAAGCTCACTTCTTGCAAAGCTCACAT